ATTCCATTAGCATGTTCAATACTAGGGGAACGATCTACTGACTGATATAGCATAACATCATACCCAATACTCGCACATAGATCTGCAAACACATACAAATTCTTCATAATGACAGGATCGCCTTACCAGGCCTTCAGTCTATCTGGACCACTCTCAGAACCTTCAGCGCCCTCCCTGGGCCTTCAACATGTCTGGACCATTCTACGAACCTTCAGAATGTCTGGATCGCCTCTTTGGGCCTTCAGCCTGTGTAGACCATTCATCAAGCCTTCGGCCTGAATGGTACGCCCCATCGGCCTTCAGTCTGTAGAATCTAAGAATTGAGTTTGAATATTAATCAGAGTAAGTAGTCAGAAATTGTATGAAAGAATGAACACCGATGCAAATAAGATCTTGATTCAGCTTAATATTACGCTTTAGGTTTACAGAGTACAAAAGTAGACAAGGCTGTAAAAACGCTATCTAACTTTAGTAAAGACTCCTATTTATATGAGAGTAAAAGCGTACAAATATAATAAGGACTAAACATCAAAGCTTCGTATAAAATGCCTTAGTAAAATAGATATCAAAACATACGAAGAGTACATACAGGACTTCGACTCTTTACAACCAAACTACTCTTACATTCTCACCCTTTGTAAACAGAGTTGAAGACTTCAGTGTGTAAGAAGTTGAATGGAGTACAACATTACTCTTCGTATCTCATTACACCAATAGATAATCTTTTTTAGTTCCTTTTATCACCTTCATTATTTTTCTTGCAATGGTTCATACGAACAATCAAGTTTGTATATTGCGAAGTAGAATATCTTTCAACTTCACTTGCCTAAAACAGAAATCTCTTTGACTTTCTAGACTTATCCTTCCCAGAGAAGACCAAGCCAAAAGGCTTCAGACATATTTCACCATCAGCATATTTCTTCAAGTCTGCTTGAGTCTTCGAAGGAGCCATTGGTGCTGTAATTTCCAGACCTTTTGCTGTAGCCAACTCCACATCTGTCATTGTCAGACATTCATAATAATATTCGATAAAAATTTTGATGTGAGTAACTCCCAACTTGTATTCATCAGGTTCTGTGTTTTGAAGATATGAAAATGATCTTTCCTTCAGCAGTAATGCAACTTGTATAAGATCATACAAGTTCATCAAAGGAAAGTCTGTTATTGTAAACTCGCACACATCGCCATTTTCCCTAGTCACAATATACTTCATGTTTTGGAATGTGTTTTTGAAGACCACATCCTTCTTTATACTTATGACCTTTTTAATCTTGACTAAGGACCACACTTCTTCTGCAAGCTTGGCAAGAACCGCATGAAATCTTATCTTCATTTGTGTGCCTTCATCCTTCTCCTTGAATTTACTTTCAGCTTTAAATTGAGGCATGATGAACATCATTACGTTAATTGGAAAGTCCAATTGGCTTGCATCCATATTCATGACAATATAACTCTGTTTAGGCTTCTTCTGAAATGAATACATGTGACTGAATGCAACCTTGGTTTTAATTGTTTCATAGTTGTAGTTCTTTGATAGATCACGCTTGTTCATGCCAGGAGGATCACTAGCCCTTTGAGTCATAATGCTTTGTATCATCCTCATCTTCTCTACTTCTGCTTCAGCCTCTGCCTTCTTCTCTTCTTTAGATTTTTCGACTAGAATTGACTTTCCCCTTGCCTTCAAACCTGATTCCTCTATCACTTCTCTTCTACCAGTGTTAATAGATTTACCAATCATAATTCCTTTCGAAGGAAACACCTTTCCTACAACCTTCATATCTTCGCCACTAGCCTTCATACCTTCAACTTTCTTTTCACCCCCTTGTAGGTGGGGAATCCATGGTAGGAAGAAGGCTAGATATTCTGGAAAGTGGAGCCAATTGCTGAAAAAGTAAGGCTTCGAATTTGGAAAATTTGTTGATAAGATCTTTAGAAGAGAGTAAAGAAGGAAAAGCAGGTGCAGACGATAAAGCTTTAAGCTCCGTTAGCATTGAGATAACCTCCATGAATTTTTTATTCTCAGTTCTAAAAAGTTGAGCAATTTGAGGACCCAAGCTTTCGTACAACTTTACGAATTTAGTAACAGCATCACATATGATATCCACCTTCTGATCCAGAGATGCAAATTCAGTATGAACATTTTCAATTTCTTTCTACATATCTTGTCTCAGTTCTTGAAGTTTATAACTTACATCTTCTCTCACCTTCTTCACATCCTGAATAAACAAAATATGGCTCTCCTTTGTAATTGACTTTAAGTCCTTCAGATCACCATTAAATGTAGATTTCTTAGCATTGACCCTCAGCTCATTATTCTGATCACAAATGTCAATTTTCTCGAGAAGACGAGACTCAGAATCCTTAATCATTCCAGACACTTTCGAAGAAAACCTCCCTTCAAGCATCTTCAACATACCATCTACTTCAAGACTTGTTACTGAATTACCTCCCCCAAGATCTTCCTGAGACTAAAGAATTGAATTGAGTTTGGTATTCAATATCTTGAACTGTTTCATTATCATTATCATATGATCTGGAATGTCTGTCTCTTCTTCATCAAACTCTAAATTTTCAAAGGTTCCGCCAAAACCTTAGGACTCGTGTTCAGTTTCCATGAAAGAAGAATATTTTATTAGTGAAGTAGTGGTATGTGGATCAGTTGATTGTGAAGAAAACAGAGATGTGAATGGTTGTTGAATAATGTTTGCAAAAGTAGGAGAATCGGTTATGGATGTAGTAGGAATGATAGGTGTAACCTGTGAAGAGAAAGAAAGAGTTGTGTCTAGAGTAACATCCGAAGATTTACTTTTGTCTGCACCATGAGAAGCATCCTCACCCAGTGTGACACTTGCATCCATATTAGATATGTTTACAAAAATGTTAGAAGTTTGTGCCTCCACAGGAACTATCTTGGCAATCGAAACTTCGGGTGGTATTACATCATCTTTTTGAAGATCAGTTTCCGGTGTCTCTGGAATGGTTTCAGTTTCATCAGCTGTAGATTCTGATGAAGTAATCACTCTACCATTCTTCTTCTTCTTCTTCAAAAGATGTTTGGCCATGTCTGTTGCCCTTCTCTTCTTAGAAGACGGTGATGCAGGGGCAAGAATATCACGAAAAATGACTCCTTGATGAGAAACTTGTGGTTTACGAACAAAATTGGTTAAAGGTGAGCAACTCTTGTGTTTAGACTTCATCTTGATTTTGCGAAAAACTCCAGTCTTTGAAGGAATAATTTCCTTTTGAGTCGAAGGAGTGTCAGCAACAACAATTTCTGGTTAGATTGGCTCTGCTTCTGAGACTGATAATTTCTTCGGACTCTTTGCTGATGTAGATTCTTTGACATATTTTTTAGAAGATTCAGCAAAAACCTTCTTCGAACATTTCGACATTTTTTCTTCCTCTCCAGCTAATAAAACCCTAGTTTCAAATGAAGTATCAATTGTTTGTAAGTATGTAATGAGAACAGTGTTGGTGGGATCAACTCTCTTCAGCATAGCATCCGGAATACGAGCAACAAATGGGAATTCATCAGTATCATCAGCTGCATCCTTCGGACAACTATATATATATATATATATATATAATATATATATATATATATATATATATGAAACCTCGCCTTTTCTTCATCTGTTGGTACCAAAATTCCTCCCTTATCATAAAAATGTTGTAGAATCAAACTCCAATGTCGAGCACACGAAATGCATGAATAGCATTCGTGTTCTCTATGATCTTCAAGAACTCCTTCCTTAATTGAGTAGAATAATCAACCCGAAGATCATAGTATAATACTGCTACCATCGCGTAAACTTCCATCTGCCCTTTATCCAACCCAACAGTTCTTCCGGTCAAGCATCTAAGAAAAATATCGAACAAGAAATTCCAAACACTCGGAAGTCCTGACTTTTTAAAATCACTAATCTTTTCAACTGGGTTGATGACCCATTTCACTAAACATATGGACTATTTGTGGGAATGTAAAAGTGTCGTATGGCAGAGAATTAGGTATCTCGAGAATTTGGCAGAAAAGCTTCTTGGAAAGTCTAACCTTCTTAGCAGTCACACGATTAAACAACATTGAAGCCAAAGCTTTAGAGTACGTTGTTGTTGATCCAGCTTGAGACAACCATGATAGAGGAATAGAGAATGAGTTGAACATGGCTTTTGATAAAATGAAACTTTTCAGAGCAATGATAAGTATTTTCAGTTCTTCAGGATAGTGAGATACGTTGGCTTTAACTTGATAATTTGTTCCTTGAATCTTCATGATCGACAATGAAGTTACATCATTGGTGGTATGAGACAAAGTTGCATCAGGATTAGCAATCGCCATTGTTAGGGTTTGAGAGTTGGATGTTTATTAGAGAAAATTTGAGAATATGAAAGCGTAAACTGATAATGAACCCTTAAATCCCCTTTTATATATAACACTGAATTTTGAAATCAAAGTGAAATAAGCATTTAATGATCTATGACGTGTCACCGAGAAACCCGCGTCATGATGATGAAAAAGTAACCTTGCGTGATAAAGTAACTGTCACATCTCCTCAAAACCTGTACAGAGTTCAAACAGTCTCTTCAAACAGCATGGATTGTTTGCCCCAATAGAATAGTAACCATCGAAACCCTTCAGATGGAGTTAAGGCTCTTTTAGTTTCTGGTTTTGAAGTAAAGTCATTTTACAGATTTTTGAAATCATCAGCCTGAGTTGGTATTACTCAGAACCTCAAGCATTTCGTGTGTGTAGCGTGTCAAAGAATAAAGATAAGAAGCAATTAAAAAAATTGGATATTCAGTGATGTCAAAAATTCAATTTGACACGAAGGCAGTTGAAACCCCGGGCAAAGATTGCTTCATTAATTGTCAAGAGAGATAAGCAACAACTTGTGTATTTTCCCGTGAATTACAATCGAATACTTGTAAATAACTATCGAAGGGCTTCTTTAAAAAAGCTTTTGAGAGGGTTTAATGAATTTCATTACATATAAACCTAAACATAAGGTGATTAATTGTAACAGAAATTACTTGTTTAACCAATGTAGTTAGTGACAAGTTTGCTTTGAAAAACTTTTTAGTAACAAGGAATTTCAGATAAAACTCATGTTGAAATCATAACAAATAAAAATGTATTCTGGATCCTGTTGGGTAACAAACATCATGGGTTTCAAATGTTTGATCAAGACCATACATGAGAATTGAATATGATTTGGAGTTTCGAACGAAGGTACAGAAACACATGTTTCGTTAAAATCTAGAACTAAGTTCCCCGTCAATTCCTTAAAGGTTGATTAAATTGGGTTTCACTTCCATCACGGTCTCATGATGTATTATCATACACACAGATTTTTGATATATCTAAGTTTCGATTAGTTTGATCAGAAACCTCTTGGACATATGTATTTGTGTGTGATGGTGTAAGAACTTTGAGATGAAAAAGATTGTTATACGAAGAAACATGTACCTATGTTAATTAGGACCAAACAGTAAACTCTTAACTCATGTGAGAAGAGTAAGGTAGCTCATTGGACTAATGCGAATGTAAGCCTAATTGGGAAGAAATCTTCATATGAAAATTACATTTAGTCTTTCAAACATTAAGTCATTTTGAGGCTTCGGACAACATGCGACAAAATGCTTTTAGGGACATCTTAACTAGTAAAAATTTTAAATTCAAAGAATAGAATGATAAATGTACCTCACCCTAGAACTGTAAGCCTTGTCCACTTTGTATCTTCATGAAAATCTGCAACATCGTACTTGAAAAGAAAGACAAAAACAAAAAATCTTTTGTTGTTTTTGATTTTTCAAAAATAAAGAACAAAATAATAAGAAAATCTTTTTGATGTTTTTGATTTTTCAAAAATTAAGAACAAAACAATTAAAAATACTCGTTGCAAATACTCGATGTTTTAAAAATACCAATCATACGAATTCGAAGCATTCAAAGAGTTGACTGTGAACAGTAATCTTTGAATACTTAATGATTTATCTTTGTCGTTTTCTTGTAATCACTGTTTGTCTTTTTCGCATGGAATTGAATTTCTATCAATCATCCCCAGTCCTTCCAAAATTCGTACAAATGATTTTTCATCCAAATCTTTTGTGAAAATATCAGCCAACTGATCCGTTGTTTTCACAAAATGTACTTCAATATTTCCTTCCTCCACATGATCTTTGATGAAGTGATAACGAAGAGCTATATGTTTCGTATTTTAATGCTGCACATGATTATGACAAATTCATATTGCACTTTGTGAATCACAATATAAAGAATCTTTTACATGTTAGTTTCATAATCACAGAATTGACTTTGAATCCATATTATCTGTGAAGTGCATGTAGCTGCGGCAACATATTCAACTTCAGCCGTTGAGATTGAAACACATGTCTGCTTTTTTGATTGCCAGCTCACCAACTTACCATTGAGTAATTGACATCCTCCACTTGTGCTTTTCCTGTCAAGATTACAACCTCCCAAATCTGCATTCGAATATGCTTGAATACAAAACCTTGTATTTGAAGGATACCACAATCCTAGCGAAGAAGTTCCTTTGAGATAACGAAAGATATTTTTTTACAGCAGTGAGATGTAGTTCTCGTGGATTTGCTTGATACCTAGCACAATTACATACAGAAAACATGATATCAGGTCTACTAGCAGTTAAATAAAGTAAAGATCCAATCATGCTTCTGTATAAAGTAAGATCAACTGCGAGTTTATCTAACGAAGGAGTTAGTTTGATCCCAGTTGCCATTGGAACTTGTAACTTTTTGCTATTCGTTAATCCAAACTTCTCTAGCAGATTCTTCGTATACTTTTCATGATTAATGAAGATTCCTTCTCTGCTTTCAAAAATGTTTAAACCAAGAAAATTATTAATTTTTCCCATCATGCTCATTTTCAAATTACTTTTCATCGAGTCTTCGAATTCTTTATACAAAACAGGGTTAGTTGAACCAAAGATAATATCATCAACATAAATTTGAACAAGCATAAGATGATTTCCAACTTTCTTACGAAATAATGTGGGGTCAACAGATCCTTGTTTAAATTTAGATTGTTTCAAAAATGAAGTAAAATTTGCATACCAGGCTCGTGGTGCTTGTTTTAAACCATAAACTGCCTTATCTAAAATATAAACAGAATCAGGATGTTCTTCGTTAACAAAACCTAGGGTTTGTTCCACATAGACAGTTTCTTTGAGTTCTCCATTCAGAAATGAACACTTCACATCCATTTGATAAACATCAAAGTCTTTGTGAGCTGCATAAGCCAAAAATATACGAACCGCCTCGAGTCTGGCGACAGGGGCAAAAGTTTCTTCGTAATCAATTCCTTCTTGTTGAGAGTATCCCTTAACAACAAGTCTGGCTTTTTTTTCGAATGATATTTCCATCTTTGTCAGTTTTGTTTTTGAAAATCCATTTTAACTTGACAATCGAAACATCATTTGGCTTAGGAATTAATCTCCAAACCTTATTTCTTTCAAATTCAGTCAATTCAGATTGCGTTGCAACAACCCAATCTGAGTGTTCCATTGCAATCTTTATTGTCTTTGGTTCAATTTTAGAGATAAAAACATTGAACATGCAAAACTTTTGATGAGTATTTAATACCTCATTGTTTGCACGAATTTTTCCCTTGTTAAAATTCCCTCTTGTGGATTACCAATTATTTGCTCCTTCGAATGATCTTTTGTCCATTTGTCCATTGTTGGATAGGCTGGATCGAAGTCCAAAGGTGCATCTTCGTACAATTTATCATTATCGGAACATGAAATTGAACAAAGATCATTAACATCATGATAATTTTCATTATTTTGTAATAGCTCCTCCGCAACATTAGCATTTAATCTCTCCCCCTCAACATCAACATTATCTCTCTCATTATCCCCCTGAAAGAATGCTCCCCCTTCATCAGAGTGTTCAAATCCAAATGCTCGCCCTCCATTAGAGTGGTGGAATCCAAATGCTCCCCCTCCATTGGATCATTTTGCATACTTTCTCCTATTTCTTGAGGGGATGATGTTAAATCATCATTAAACTTTGAAAGTTCAGGGATATGATTATCAGGAGCTTTTTCTTCAACATTTCTAGCATGATCTGAAAGTCCAAATATCAAATCATAATCAATATCCGACATTTGCATTGGTTCATATTCATCTTGATTTTCATTCAAAATTGGAAGATTTTG